ATACTTCTTTTTTGTTTATTCTTCGTAGTTTATTTTTTTTAAAAAATACTTTAAACTGTATAAATAATGTAAAATTAAATAGATTTAAACAGCCAATCATACGAAAGTCTTCCTATAGCTGTAGCGGTAGGTATCTTACGGCATATACATGCATTCTATATGCATACGAACAATAACATTTGTTCTCGCGATTATTGCTAATAATGTAATTATATAACGTAATTTTACTATTTATATATAGCATGTTTCAAAATCCTAACCTGAGATTAAGTGTAATCATAATATACTTTGAAGATAGACGGTAAATTTAAAATTTAGTTTCTATCACTATAATTTTTATGACATATCCGCCGATTTGGTTTCACCCCCAAAATTAGCCAATCATGATCGAGAATTATTTGCTATTAAAATTTATTACAAAAGTGAGTTTTTACAACAATGGTCTTTTAAACTTACTTTTAATCCATAAATAAGTGTATAGAATATTTTAATATTTACATGTTTAATTATTAGCTGAAAGTAAGTTAAAAAGGTAGTTTTCTGAAAATTGCTTCTGAATTTACCCTTACCCATTATACAACCGATCGTTCAATGACAAACCGATCCTTCACTACCTGAAAATACCCGAACACTTCAACAACTAGTGATAGTGCTTCCTTTTACAGCTTGGCGTAGCTTTTCTTTGAATATTTATTGCTTATTTATCTCATATAGAAGCCAAAAACTATTTTATTTGAAGGTTTCATTTGTTATTCTTTATGTCACTTAATAGCAGAAGTTTGTGTAATGGTTTATCGAAAAAAGACCCCTAAAAATCAAATCGGTGGATATGATTAGAGTTCTAACATAATTCTTTTTTGCGTATTGATTGTTATAAATAAATAATTTATTTTAATAATTTTTCTTTGGCAAACTGCATACCTGTACTAATTTATAATGTTATTATATATTAGTCCTCTTAGGATTTAAACTAATATTTGATATACTAACATATCAAATTGGTTGGAAGTTGCTATTAAAGAAAGATACATTAAATCATTTAAGCATGATTCTTTTTAGCAGAAGTGGAAACGAATTGGTCATGGAGGGCAAGGCACTGTGTATAGTGTTTATTTAAATAGTCTTGAAGAAAGTGTAGCTTTGAAGATTTTACATTATGATATAAAAGATATTTCTAGTGATGTGCTCATGCGAAGTACCCTAGCCATCCAGAAAAAAAAGTGGCAGACACGTGATTTTTTGAAATCTGGCCAAAGATCAGGTGTAACGTCAAAATCACGCTTTTTGTTTTTTTTTGAAAAATCGTCAATAACTCGAAATTTCACTTATGAAACTACCTTCTGCGTACTAACAAAAAAATTCCTCGCTAAATTTTTGTATATATCATGCTATATTAAAACCCAAATTCTAACCACGCTTATATGATTGTTTTGATTTTTGCTGATTGGCCGGAATCACGTGACTCACACTTTTTTCTGGATGGCTAGGGTACTGGCCAGGGACGCCGATTTTTTTTTTTGGATTAAAGATGAATTTTTTTTTGGATAACGTAAAAATTTTGGAAATTTTTGGATTTGGCTGGCATTGAGAAATTAAATTTAATAATTTGGGCCAGATCAAACGACCCTAGCGGACCGGGGTAAACTCGCCACCCAAAAAAGTTTCGAACATCACGTGGCAAATATATCGAGCACCAAAAATTCATGTAATTCATTTACAAATGAAAAAAAAAAAATTATAGACTAACAAAATAATAACGATAAGCAAGTTTGTTTATTTCGAATAAACTCAATAAACGTAATATTTATTACAGCTAGAAAAGTATTATGATTACGGTTTTTAAAAATATTTGGAATATTTCATTGCCTTTTAAAATGATTATAATTCACTTCCAATTTATGCAATGGCTTTAAGTTTTATTAATACTATCGAGCCATTTGTTATTATTTGGATTCATTATGTTTTCTCCAATAATTTTTTTTGTCGCGTTCTGGATTCAAAATTATAAAAACTTTTCGCTCAAATAAATAATCAGAGTTATATATAGTCTTCCGGAAGAGCATTAAAAATAAAACCTACAAGGTTTCTAGTGCAATTGCATTTTCTTGATTAGTTTTTACAATTTTATTTCGACTTTCGTTCTTTTTTTCGTTTATTATTAGTGAAAATTTGGTTACGGCAATCGATGGATATTTTCAAAATATTTAATTTTATGCTCTTAGAAGAATCACTTGGTTTGTCGAGATGAAACGATCGCTTTTCACTTTAAAGAATCGAAGGAAAAAGAATTACTAAATCAATCAATATCTTATTATCATGATCCTAATCATGATGAATTGACAATATCACGATTTTCGAAACTTTTTTGGGTGGCGATTTTACCCCGGTCATTTGCCCATCACTAGATATTTCAAAACATTATTCAAGTTTCACAACACAAAAATATTATAAACTTTTACGGTGTCACGCAGGGTATATTTAATTTTATACAATGTAAATAAGCTATATCAGTTAACTAATAATTTCGAGTAATTTAGATCCGAAAACCGATGACTACTATATGGTTCTTCAACTCGCCAATGATGGAGACCTTCGTTCATATTTACTTAAATCAGAATTAGATTGGACAACTAAAATTAAAATGGCGAAGGAAATTTCCAATGGGGTTAATTATATACACGATGCAGAGCTTGTTCATCGTGATCTTGTAAGATGCTTTTTTTTCCTAATTTATTTTTCTTTTTATTATACAAGTATTAATATTATTATCTGTTATAGCATGATGGGAATATATTAGTGCATAATGGTAGATTAATGATTGCGGATTTTGGCTGATCTAAATCGACATCAGTTAATAGCGCAAACTCTATTGCTGTAGGAAGATGTGAATTTTCTGATCCACAATATCTCAAATACCTAACTTTGGGCGAACATTTTTATAAGCGAAATAAAGCTTCTGATATCTATAGTCTCGGTGTGCTTTTTGGGAGTTATCAAGTGGCGTACTCCCTTTAAAGATGCCCGCGATGCAATAAAAGCAAACGTATAATTCAAGGCGAAAGAGAAACTCCTGTCGACGGAACTCCTGTTGATTTTATGAATATTTATTGTAATGCTTGGAACGGTGATCCAAATTTACGTCCTAATATAAATGAAATACGTAATAAATTAAATTCTATTCGAATGGATTCAGTTTATTATAGTGAAAAAGAAATTAATATAGGTGTCTCAAGTATTGATTATGCTGATTTTAATTCATATAAACTAATAATAACGATATTTCAAGATAATACAACCGAACCTGTAATTTCAACCCAAGACTGTAATATTGAGGATATAAGAAAAGAAGCACGCGAATCTTTTAACCAAGGCAAATTTCTCGAAGCGTTAGAACTTTATGAAGAAATCCTCAAGAAAGTCAGCACACTAATAACGATAAAAAAAAATGCTTCATCTTGGAATCTTGATTCTAAATGTCGTGAATCAGAAAAAATAAAGAGTTAATCAAGGCACTTTGCAAGAACACTACCTTAACAAAGTTGGATCTTCGATCGAATAATCTTGGATCAGACGTCGGATAAGCATTAACTGATGCTCTTTGCAAGAACACTAACTTAACTATTTTGGATCTTTACGATAATAATATTGGATCAGAAGGTGGAAAAGCATTGGCTGATGCTCTTTGCAAGAACACTACCTT